AGTTTTGTTCAGCAGATATATTCTCATTGTGCCCAAAGAGAGAAATATATGCCTCTACTTAGGATCGAACTTAAAGCCTCCTGATTGTGAGGCCACCACACCACTTTGTCCATTTTGTTTAAAATGAGACGTGCAACCATCTTTTAATGACCTGTTAAACAGCAGAATCTGGTCTGAGTATTTGTCTAGCATAAAGCTGCCGTTTATTTCCCAAACTTGTTCCTTTCCTTCGGAATTCTTAGGAAAAAAAAACTTCCCTAACATACATTACAAATTAAATTCCTGTAGTTTTGCACTTGGGAGTTGTTATCTGTGCCTCTGCTGTCTTTCAAGCATCGGGTACCGATGTACTCTTCTCATGTTAAATAAATAGTGCACATTTTCTCCCCGCAGCAGTTAGGAGGATGACTCACGGACTAATAAGAAGTTGGCTTAAATCCTGTCCTTCTAAGTGATTTTTTTTTTTTTTGCTACTACCCAAAACAGCCAGCAAACAGAAGCCAAATCCAAGAAGCCATTTTATTGAACCTTCTCTGCTCATAATAAATAGAGCTGTAGAACAGAAGAATGGAGAAGGAAAGGTGCGCGTTACACAAGAAAGGCAGTGGAGTCATAGGAATCTTCCCTGTGTTCTAAATACACACATACACACAACTTCACTCTCCTCCAAGCATTGCTTTCCACGTGGACTACAACAGAAATATTGGGAGTGTAGGCCTCGGCCAAGAGAAGCGCTGGCTAAGATAATTGATATTCCTGGGAGATGAGAGATGGACTCCCCGTTCCACTTGGATCACTCCTGGGTCAAGGAGTGGATGATGTCTTTCACCAGCATGGTACCAATCAACATCTTTTCACTGTTGATGGTCAGCTGGGCCGTGTTGTCCGACTTCTTCTCCAGGGTGATCAAGATGAGACACTCGCCGCTCACTGTTTTAGCAGCAAACCTGGCCGGGCGAAAACACCAAGGAAACCAGCAACAAAAACATTTAAGAGCGGCTGCAAATATTAGAATAACGTTCCTAACGAATATCTTTCTGGACGTGCACGGTCTGTAATCTCCCAAGGTAGAAACCCAGCAAGATTAAAAAGGCAGAAGTTGGTTGGAGAAAGGAAATGGGAGTTTGCAAGAGTTTGCAAAATTCTAAGAGCTAGGAAGTACCTAGTGAAAGGCAGTTTTTATTTATGATTTTTTTTATTTGTTAGATTTTTATTATCCTGCCTTTATTTTTACAAATAATTCAAGGTGGCAAATACATTTAATCCTCCTTCCTTCTCCTATTTTTCTCATTACAACAACCTGTAAGGGGACTTGGGCCGAGAGAGGGGGATTGGTGCAAAGTCACCCAGCCAGCTTTCATGCCTAAAATGGGACTAGAACTCACAGTTTCCTGGCGATTAGCCTAAAACCATCCAGCTGGTTTTCATGCCTAAAACAGGACTAAAACACAGTTTCCTAGGGATTGGCCCATAGTCACCCAGCTGGCTTCTATCCCCTATAATACCACACTATAAAAAAGGTGTTGAGGCTCTAGAAAAACTGCAGAGAAGAGCAACCAGGATGATTAGGGGACTGGAGACTAAAACATGAAGAACGGTTACAGGAACTGGGCCTGGCTAGTCTAGGGAAGAGAAGGACCAGGGGAGACATGATAGCGGTCTTCCAATATTTGAGGGGCTGCCCCAGAGAGGAGGAAGGGGTCAAGCTATTTTCCAAAGCACCAGAAGACCAGACAAGGAATAATGGATGGAAACTGAACAAGGAGAGATTCAACCTGGAAATAAGGAGAAACTTTCTGACAGTGAAAACAATCAACCCATGGAACAGAAGTTGCCTTCAGAAGTTGTGGGAGCTTCATCACTGGAGACTTTCAAGAAGAGACTGGACTGCCATTTGTCAGAAATGGTGTAGGGCCTCCTGCTTGGGTGGTGGGTTAGACTAGATGACCTACAATGTCCCTTCCAACTCTGATTATCTGTATCCCCAAACTGGCACTAGAATTCACTATCTCCTGGTGATTGGCTAAAAGCCATCCATGTGTTTTCATGCCTAAGATGGGACTAGAACTCACTGTCCCTGGCTTTCTACCTTGACCAAACTGACTCTGTTTGGCTGGAAATCTTTAGCAAAATACTGTAGTGAGACGTCCAGATGTACTTCCAAAGAGAGGATCCGCAATGGATCCAAGGAATCTCTCCTTCCAAGGGAGGATCCAATAAAGGTGGCCAAGAGTAGGGGAAAAAAACAGCAGCCATTTTCTTCACCTGTATTCTTTGTCCGATCCGCAGGGCACCCGGCTGACGTTGGCGGCCGCTGTCACCTTTTGCACAATCACATGGTCACTCTGGCAGGTGTCTGGAAGACTTAGCTTCTCTGTGATTTCACTCATCCCTGTTAGCTTCCCTGGAGGTTAGGAAAGACAGAAACAATTAACAATTCAGGCATTTTTTTCAGTGCCATTGTAACTTGAATGGCCACTAAGTGAAATGATTGACTAAGTGAAATGAGGACTTACCTGTACTGGGCACTGTGAAATGATCCCCCTTCATGGGCTAATGTGTTTCAAAAAGGATGCCATCTTGTGCAGGGATGGGCAACGATGCCAATTTTACAATCCGTGGACTTCAATTCCCAGAATTCCTGATTTGGCATGGCTGGCTCAGGAATTCTGGGAGTTGAAGTCCGTAGGTTATAAAGTTGGCATTGTTGCTTACCCTAGATGGTGTCTACGTCAAACTGGGACTGGGAGATGTACATTGAAACCCACCCTCAGCTATAGAAAGGTCACTTTGAGTCAATCACTGTCCTTCAACCCAACTTTTCTCACAAGGGTGTCATGGTTGGAACAAGTCAACAACCTCTCTTAAGTTTCAGAAGAAACAACAGACATAAAAGTCAAGCAAGTGAACAATTCTAGCTTACTCCTTGCTATGTTCTGTACAGAATCCAAAAATGGCGCTTCCCCGCAGTTTAGCTGAATGAAAGATACTGATTAAGGCCTTCCAAAGTGAGGTGGAACCAAGGCGAGTCAAAAATCACTTCCAAACATGCAAACTCTTGTGGAATGTATTGCACTTCCTAGAGAATTGTGCATTTTCAACACTTAAGTGGAGACCCTCAAAAGTCAGGAACCTTTTTAATATCAAGCACCACTTCCAGAATTAGTATTTTCCATTAGTCATGGGAGCAGGCAAGTTGAGTAAGTGGGTTAATAGGTTAATTAATGGAGGAACTCGGGGGCTCCTCTCTGAATTGGGTTTGAAGAGTGAAGTTTTCATGCCAAGAGGTGCTTCGTGGGGGCATGCAGGAAGTCTGGTGCTCAACAGCAGCCAAACGGTCTGTCTTAAGACACAGGAGGCAGGAAGAGTGACCAGGATGGAAGCAACAGCAAGGTGCTCAAAATCTAACCCGGCCATCCCTCTCACCAGGAAATCTGCCTGACGTTGCTTGTGGTGAGAAGTAGGGTACAAAAGACATGCAGAGGGAGGCAGAGAGACGCTAAGGGACAACGATGCTGGAAAGCCTTAGACTGGATTCACACAGTCCACTAGGCCAGGGTGTCCAACCCTTTAAGATGTGCGGACGTCAACTCCCAGCATGGGAAATTCTAAAAATTGAAGTCCACAGGCCTTAAAATTGCCAAGGTTGAATGCACAATCCCCCCCCGCACTAGGCCATGTTACCGTGATAAACCAGAACTGGCTGGATTCAGACGACACGTGAAAATCTCAAAAACAAGCAAGCGTATTTTGGTATGGTGTCCTGGGCGTGCGGTCACATGATCAAATTTTGGGCGCTGGGCAAAAGGACCACCCTGTTGGCTGCTTTCTGCGTCTCACAGTCATGTGACGGGGTGTTACGAGAGTTTTTGCCAAACCCCAAAGTGACTTCCAGTTTTTTGGCAACACTGAACTTCTTCTGACTGAGGAAGCTTCTTGGATGAGAAGCGAAACGTCTTCAAGGAAAAAGGAAGTCCGGTTGAAGCCTTTTGAAAAAAAATCACCTTTGGGACTAAATGACTGCAGGGTTTGTTAAAGAACCGCACAGCGCCTTTACGACTTCCGCAAAAAAAGGATGGTGAAATTGTAAAATGTGACCGTCACGACCTATGACCGTGATGGGCAGGCTCCATTTCTGTGATAAGTCAAGGACTACCTGTATTGATCTTTAATTAGGAGTGCAGGAGAAGCAGAGGGCAGGGGCTCGGGTCTACAGGGAGAGGCAAGAAGGGTGTCCAAGACAGAAGCCATCCTAGCGCCAGAAAGAGGGAAAGGGTGGGGCCGGCTGTTTGGAAAGCAGCGCCTGGGCTTAGGGCCAGGCAGGAGGGGAAGCGGGAGAGCGGCAGGGCTCTTTGGGCAGGAAGAAGAAAGAGAGAGAGACAGAGACAGAGAGAGAGACAGAGACAAGGAAAGGAAAGGAAAGGAAAGGAAAGGAAAGGAAAGGAAAGGAAAGGAAAGGAAAGG